AAAGACAGCTTTAAGAAACATGAGTTTAAATTTTCTTTATCTCTGTTACAAAGTTTATTTGTTGATTCTGAAGGAATTAAATTGATAAATGCAATGCTCAGGTAGCACCCTGTGACATTTTAACCCGGGTTCAAAGCTCCTCTTGTGGTCCAGCTCCCTCAAAGAACCTTTGATGTTCTTACATTCATTCACCCCTCATTTGCTATTGTCTTAAGTATTTACCTTCTGGAGTTTATTTAGGAAAGGTATTCTAGGATGTAGCAGGGTATCTTAAAACAAAACCATGGTCGGATAGAGATGCTTACAGAGATGTTATTTACCTGTGATCTGTCATGTACTTACATATAAATTGCAAGGTCAATACTAAACTTACATGATTCTGGATTATTAAATTGGAGGAAGAAATTGTATGTTTCCTTAAAAGATTTCTGTAATTTTCTCTTTGGGATGGTTTTCAAATTTGAGGATTGATTTTAACTTTTTTAATTTCAATATTTGAGTAAAAAAAAAATTCTTGAAACACATTAGAAAAATAAAGTTTTCAGAACATGCTTAGTTTGTGCAGCCCTTATAATTTTAAATATTAGTTTCTCACAGCTTTGTGTGAATAATTAATAATATGTGTATGCAAAAGATTTTTTCTGTTCTGTTCACTGGAAATATTAAACCCCTCATGAGGAACTTGATATCAAAGTTGACTGGAACATCTGCCTTTTATTTTCATTGCAAGGCTGACCAATGGGACTAATGTACATTGTGCATGAGTTGAAAATTAAACTAGGAAGAACTAGCATGATCTGAGCATGCAATGCAAAATCAGAACTGGGCAGTTACAATGTTTTCTCTAGGGGAATATTGCCAAGAGATTGTTTGCATAATTCCAGGGTATAAAATCTATTTATTCTATTTTATTTTAGAAATGTTCCTTTTCCCATCTCTAAATTAACAAGGCTGTATTATGATATTGAAATGGTAAAATAAGGATTTAAATATAAATGAAGATAAATTGGCAAATTCTAAAGTCGAAGATAAATATTAGCATAATTTTTCATTTTTCATTTCATTCAGAAAACTTAAGGCTAGAAGTAACTTCAGGGGCTGACTAGCCTTCCCCCTCACAGGTTGCCCAGACAGTATGTGGAGTGTCCATCCTCAACAACTGGCTCTAGGTGGGAGGGTTGGACCAGATGACCTCCAGAGAACCACCCAGCCTCAACCATTCTGTGATTCTGTGACCCGAAGCAAAATCAGCTGTAGGTGTGCTATTTTATACAGATATTTGCCAACCTGATTTTAAAATGGATTTGATTTCTATTTATAAAAACTGGAATGCTTTATCCATAGGCACCATGTTCACACAATTCCAGGTCTTCAGCTTCTTCGGAGCATTTTTCTTACCTTTGTAGCTAAATTTTTCTTAATGCAGGTTAACTATGTAATGATTTTCTGCCCTGTCCTCGGTGATTGTTAATCTAAACTGAATCAACTGTCTAGGGAGGTGAAAACTCTTATTTTGTCTTTTTGAAGGTTGCTTCACAGGCTGAAGAGAGCATAGCCCAATGTGGTGGATTTTTTCCTCTTCCTTTCAGCAGCATGATATTCTTGACTGGTGTTTAGCTGTCATCTATAATTACCCCTCAAGATTTTTTTATTTGTCATTGTTCCTTACTTTTACATTCCTCATCTTTAATATAGATTGTTCCAGCCTTACTAAAATACCTTGAATTTGTTCATGATGAGTTTCATCTTACTATGCTTAGACCATTTGTGTAAATTTCAAGATTATTTTAATTAGTCATATTCTTGAAGTTTTTTTTATGCCCCTCCTCACTTTCTGGAAGTTTGTATGTTTAATAAATATATACATATACCCTCTTCAATCAGGCTGGAAAAAAGTTTATTTTTTCAACTGGTGGATCCATATAAAACTTTAGTCTAGAAATCCTTCCATTTTGATGGTGAACCACTGATAAACAATCTCTGACTTGTTTTGCAAAGAAAAAACATATTAAAAAGTTACTGTTGAAATTCTTCTCTGTGTAAGTTTTGCTACAGAGGAAAAAAGATATCTGTGAAACTTAGTGCAGACAACGTGTATCTATAATGACTATACATAGTTATAGAGGAAGGATTCTAAATTTCTATGCAAATTATATATAAAGGAACCTTTATATGTAGTTGTATGCAGTTGTTGCTTTTGGGGGGAGGGTGGGTACAGCTGTAGTTTAGTAATTCACAACTGGAATTACCCAGAGCTTAAAAAAGCAAAATAAGAAAAGTACACCTTTTTTTTTCCCTTGGGTGTTCTTCTTACTTATCTTTAACAAACCACTTCAAATCCCTTGGTTAAGAGTCTGAAATAATGTGAATATGAAATAATATTAATAATATGTTTACAAAGTATGAAATCACTGTGTAAATAAAACTATAAAGAGCCATAAGAAATTATCTGAATTGGAATTTTACTCATACTTAGTCAGCAGTGCTTAGACAGCAGTAGAGTAACTATAAAAAGTTAGCTGACTATTCATTACGTGCTAGTTTGCTTTCCTCATAATTAGAGATGTTGGTACAGTTTTAAAAACAGTCTTCAGCTTGCCATTAGGCTTTTTGCAGTGAAAATAATGGAAAAAATAGGTACACTAGTACTAGTTATGCAGTCAAATGTAGTATAAAGTAAATATTGATTTATATTCTATAGTGTATATATAAAATATTATGTAATCTTTGTTCCACATGCATTGTTTGCAACTTTGTGGTTTTCTAGCCTCAATATGGAAAAAGGTAATTAAGCCTTAATGAAAGGAGAGTTAAGCTGCAGTTCCAGAACAGCTCACTGGATGCACAGTAGAAGTGAAAGATTGTTTTCCTCATGACTCAGTTTCTTTTGGACTGCTGATTTACCCTTTCCCCAACTGACTGTAATCAACCTGTTATTGCTAATCCCTGACTAGGCACCCTACCAAAGATAAATCTGCTAAAGACTCTTAATGATGCTCTGATTCTGCCAGAGTTTTAACAGGAATGTGGGAGAAAGGGAGTCTAAAAGCCAGTCCCTTTAAGTTCAGCATGGAGCTATGCTGAAAATTGGAGAAGAGAAAGGGAGAGGCACATGAACCATGGCTGCCTCCTGCTCTGTTGTGACTCTGGACAAGTTAGCTGGACATTTGTTTGTCCTGAATTCCTAAAGGTCCAGAACAATGTTAGTAATGCTGGCCTATCTTTGTGAAGCATTCATTGGGTGAAAAATAGTATTTAAATGCCCTTTGGAGTGAGATGATATTAAAAAAAAAAAAAAAACAAGCTGGGTTAGAAATAAAAGGCATGAACACTTTTTTCAGAATGTCTTTAGTTACAAGATAAGAGCAGTTAGTAGAGGCCTGATAAACATCACTTTTTGAAACACAAACTTTTGTGTTTCAGTGACATGGGAATTCTCAAGGAGTGTTGTATCTCCTCAGAGTCTTGTTTTAATTCTTAATATAATGGCCATTTAACTTGTGACAAAGGATTGAAGCTGCAGCTGCTTCTGTGATCTTGGTTTGTTCAGTTGTAGAGCCTTGAAAATCTTCTGAAATGGGAGGAATCAGCTTCTTCCTTCCTGGACCATTTTTCAGTTATACTTGCAGTTATTCCACGGAACTGAGGTGGGTCCAGAGCTCCACCTCTTAGTTTACCAGAAAAAGCACTTAAACACTTGAAATCAGGAACTTTGGGTTTTTAATAGTTCGTTGTTGTGAAATTTCTATAATTGATTTTGATTTGCTACTTTCTGAAGAAACATCTTTATAATGTTTCTCTAGCTGGTTATCAATTTTTTAATTACTTTTACCAGAGCAGTGGATAATAATTAGTTCTTGAAAGAAATTTTTTTCTAGTGAATGTATTACACTTGTAAAACAACTAGGATACATATATTGATTCTGGCTGGAAATTTAAAACGCAACCTTGAACATTTTGTGATCTTCCCAGTGGTATGTCCAAATTCCTTCTGGTGCCAAGTACTGTATTTAACCCACATTATGATTTAAATTCTTTCTGTTAAAATATATTTAATTAATTATTTAGTAATTTATATCACTGGTGTTTGCAGAGAAGGAAAAGCATTTTTTCACAGGAGCGCTATCAAATTTTGTCATACAGATATGTTTTTCTACTCACCTCTTATTTCAGTATTGTTGGACAGATTCTGGCCTACAACTTTATAAATAATAGCTTTAAGGCGTGGCTATTCTGTGCATGAAATCACATTAAATATATGTGAACCTATAAACTCTTGTTGTATGGGTAAAGATGAGCAATAATCTCATTTGTGAAAGCAGCCAGTAATAAGCAATCTGTGTCCTTGTCTTTGTAACAAAAAGTTTGTTTTAATCCTAATTAAGTATACATCTTGGACATCTGTATACTTCAGTATTACATTTGAAGTTTTTGTAAGCTGTGTCTTTGCAGCTGTCTCAACACTCACTGCTTATAGCACCATATTAAAAACCCTGTTAGTTTTTTGCTATGGTACTATAAGATAAAAGGCATGTCCTACACCTCTTCTGGTCACTATGATTTTAATCCAATCAATTCAATATGTGAAAGTACACCTGTAGTAAGCTGGGAAAGTATTTCTGCAAAGGCTGTGCGAGTAATCTTCTGCTTCTGTTTCTGACAGCATGTGAACATATATAACAATCTACCAGTTTCCAAACACAGATTTCTTGAATTTCTATTTTATTGAAAATCACTAGCAAAGGAAAAATGGCTTTGAGTAATTTTTCTCTTTGAATAATAATTCATGCTTACTAATCACTTACCAGTAACTATGAGCAGAAGTAGTTGCTTTTGTTTAAGGAAATTTTGAAAGAGGAAATTTGAAAATTCATTTTGAGCCAGTGACACAAAAGACTGTGGTTTATAAAGACATGCAGAAAATCAGTAATCATACCACCAAAAGATCTGTAATTTAATTCTTTATTGTAAAGATTGCCTGGTGAATATTTTGCCATTTTGTGTGTGCTTGACACTAAGAGCTCTTCTGAGCTAAAAAGCTATATGCATCTGACAAAGGAATTTCCCAGGTTCCATACTCATTCCTATATGTAATTGAATTTGTGAATATCTTTATTTTGTCTTCTTGATTCAATTTCAGATCAACTTGGTGCTGCAGTAAAGTGAAGTTCTGGTAGGCTGGTGTCTAGCCAGTGCTGTGTTGAGATTCAGTATCTATGATGGACCAGTGAGTCCCCATTAATGTAGAACCTTTCCAAAAACAGGTGATAGACTCAGTCCGAGTTCTGTAGTCACACCTTAAAATAAAAATCAGTTGACTGTATTTCAGGATGTTTCTGAAGCTACAGACTGCAAAGAAAATTCTGAGAATTAGTTTTAAAAAAAATAGTACAGCTATTAATTAGCAACTTATGTAGTATAATTACTTACCCAGATCAAATTTTGTTGCTTGGATTTTGCTATGGTATTAGTCTGACAAGTGGCAAAAAATGTGTGGTTGCACTATTGCAAACCTGAAAGGGAAATTTTAAAAGTGACTTCACCAACAAATATGCCTTCTATGGAAGGAAAATAACCAATGGAGCTTGATTTCTACTTATCAGTAGTTCAGTCTGTGCTGTGGCATCTACTCAGTGCTGCCTCACAGTATCTGTGAAAAGTGCTGAGGAAATGTATTAATCAATAATTAGGAAACAAACATGAACACAGGAGACTCCAATAGCAAAAGTAGTAATTTATTAATATTTCATTATCTTGAAGGAAAAAAAAATGACAGATATCAGAAGGTATGAAAGTGTAGATAATCTTCTAGTGCCAGAAGCACATGCTTGCTGAGGTAACTATGTCTTCACTAGCAGATTTTCCTGTTTAGATAGGCAACAGGGGAGATTTGCTGCTAAACAAATCTTGTGTTTACCTGGCCAAAGAGTAAAAAGAAACCAAAAACAAAAGCCAAACAAAAACCCAAACCAAAAAACCAAAGCACCCAGCAACACAAGAAACCCACTTTTACAGCTCTGCCAGGTTCTGAAAGCTGCCAATCTGTATCATGCCATGTTCCAAATACTGTGTTCACAACAGTCTGGCTCTGGAAGGAGCTGCAGGCCCTTCCTGAGCAGGATATGTTCCACTGTTAGCTACAAGCTCAGACTTAATTCTGTGCTTAGTTGAAATGCAAATTATATTAGTAAAGTTTTCAATTTGACTCTAAATAGTGTTTGAGATGCACTAATATATTAGAAGGCTGATTCTCCCTTTGATGAAAAGTAAAGTGAGCAGGGTCTTTCTTTGAAAAAAAAGTATTTTTCTATTGAAAAAGCAATACTTTTCTTGCAAGAACCTTGCTTAAAGTATTCAATGGCAATATATCACAAATACAGTCCAGCAAACAGTAAGAAGAAGCCTACCTAGGACAATATAAAATGTTTACCTCTGTCAGTGACATGTTGTATACACGACTGGTTTCTCTCAGACACATTCCATTTGAAAGTCTGATGTAGCAACTTTCTAAAGAACATTTTGTGCTGCAGAAAGTACTAATCAGGCAGTTACAAAAATCCTTTACACTTTGTCCTTTCCTGTTCACCCAATGTCCGTGTGGCTCCCTTAGCTGGCAGCTGCTCCTCCCAGCAGTAGGGTATTTAACGGGGTATTTCTGAGGCCCCAGCAGCTTGGCTGTACTACGAATGTTGGATTTTGGGGAAAATGGGCTCCCTCTGGTGAGTGGTTGAGTCGTTGTCGACTGAACTACCTTCGTGTTTTGAGCTTTCTTAGCTCAGATTTTATTTTCAAATGCCACTCTCACGGTGCTTGAGCACTTGCATGTACTGACATATAATGTGCTCCTAGCAGCTGTCAACACTTGTCGTCTTTATTTCCTGGAGTAGCAGAGGGCTTGCAATATAAATCTTGCAACTTTTCACCAGCTGGGAGGGAAGGCTAGGAGACTGCTGCAAAGAGATGCCAAGGGAAAGTTAGGTATTACAATTGTGTCAGATAATTTTTGTGTGCTTTAATTCCAACTCTGGCCTTTGTAGCTGGTTAACATTTCTTATTATTTTGCTCCTTTTATCCTGTGCTGAGTGACTTACTACCTTTACTTTTTGCAGGATGCTGGTGTGAATCAAAGAAGAATGAATATGCAGTCCTTTTGTGGCAAGTGTATATATATACACTTGTACACATGTAAATCCAGAAATTAAACTTGTCTAGTAATCCACCTTGCTTCAATTCAAACCTCTCCAGCCTATGATGGTAGAGGTCTGTTGACACTGTACATGTAGTCCTACATAAACTCTCTACAAGACTTGACTCATTTTTAAAAAACTGAAATGCCATTAAATTTGTCATTGAAGCAAGGTTTCTAAATGTAATGTTCCTGCAACTTACATCTAGAACTCAGTTAAGCAGGCATCCTATCTTAATGGAACAGGTAAACTGGAGATAGCCGGGTAGAAATTGTCTTAGATCTTGCAGGTTGTTTGCAGTAGGAGTAAGGATCTCTAGTCCTTGATCTAGCTACAGAGAAAGTTTATTGAAATTCCTGGTCTTCTTTTTTTTAAGTTTTCAGTTCTGTGTGATAACCAGTCTCTCATCCTTTCAGTAAATACTCTTCAAAGGGTGTTGTGAAGATAAAAAGGTGATGTTAAGGGGACAAAGCAGGAGGAAAGGGGACTTTCAGCCTTAGGTTTTATTCAAACAGAAATAGGCCAGGCAAGTGAAATAGGTGTGACTGCTGAACTGCAGCTAGATAATTCTGAACACACCTTAAGCCTAGGAAATAATGACTGGATCAGAAAAAACACCCACCTGCATTGTTCATCTTAGCTTTGAGGTTCGTGAAGCTTAGCTGTCTTTTTTATGTTATTACTTTTTGTGCCAGGCATGATCCAATGAGGGGCTGTTTCCTTCTCTCTCACAGATCAGTGTCTGTCAAAGGTGTATAATTACATTCGTATTAGCATTCAATATCTATTGTTCTAGGCAGAGAAATTGTAGACTTTATTGTGGTCACTAGAGAAAGCAGATGTGTGCCAGTGAAAATATTGTGAGTGTGGTAGTGTTAGAAACATGATCAGATTGACTGCTTTGGATTCAGAAGATGTACAGACATCTTTTTGTATAATCTGCAACTTTAAATTATGTTTAAATGGAACCTAATTGGGATTTTAATTAATATTAATAAACTGATAAGAAAATAATGAATATGAAAATTAAAACTCACTTTCTCCATTAAAAGTGCTCAAAGAAAACAAATATCATAAAACAAAACAGCTGCAGCTATCAAGAAATGAAACCAAACTAATTTCTGAAACCTTCCAACTGCCTGATGAGGTCTTTTTCTTTTTGTAGTTTATTAAACTAAAAAAATGTCACATATCATCTGTTGTACACTTAGTCACTGAATGTGATTGCAAAGATATGATGAAATTCCAGAACATTTCCACTGGGCACATTTAAAAATTGAAACCTTAAACAATTTGGTTTTTTAATTTGCTAAACAATATCGAATTTTGTACTCCTATGTTTTGCTTGCAGAGAATTTTGGTCAGGTAAGAGAACAGGTATTTTTAAACAACATTAACATTGCTTCTAATTTCAGGGATTATTAATTTATTTTAAAGTAAATGTATCACATTGTTCATTTCGGAAAAAAGGTTTTATCCATCTTTAGTGTTGTTGAAGATCTAAAACCACTCCTAATTTCTGTCTGATCTTAGCTGTTCATCACTGCTGATTCATCAGAACTGCAGATGGGAAGATGTTGACATTTGGATTTAGTCTTCATTTAGTATTTTTATTAGTATTTCTATTAGTATTTCTAGTTTACTTCTGCTAAACAGCTAGCAGAGGATTATTTCCTTATGCTAAAATCACTGATCATCTCTTCTGTGACCATAAGTAATTGGCATGTTGGAAGTAACTGTCCAGTTCCAAGCCCAGCTACTTTCTCATTTGTATAATGAAACACTTTTATTTTGGCTAACGACAAAAAACTTCACCCTGTGAAATTACTGTAAAATACTGCTGCCTACTAAAAAAAGAAGTGTATAGATATGTATTACAAGACTGCAATAACATTTTATGCAGTGTAAAACCCACCTTCTAGAGAATATCTATGCTATTCAGTCTTCTGGACTTATTAAGGGTATTCTAGGGGCTGAGTGATGCCAGTGAAACAATTTTTTTCACTTCAGTGTAACTGGGGTCAGCTTTTTAATTCTATAGTTACATGACTTGTCCTTGACTAGTCCATCACTTTGGTATCTAGCATGTCAGAATAAATCTTACAGTAGAACAAGTTAGCAGTAGCTCCACTGACATAAATCCAGCATAAATATAGAGGTTGGGCCAAATTGCCTAGGTCAGATCAGAACCTGAACTTTTGGAGTGAGTCCAGCATTGTATAAAGCATTCCTTCCCTCTCCCCCCACCCTTTTGTTTTCTTTTATTTAATGACTTGTATATACTTATATATTAAAAGTAACAGGGCTTATGTTCTTGGAAATTCAAGTGTAAGGGAGGTTCTAACTGGGCCCAGATACTGCACTGCTTCATGGTCTACACAACTCATTCTCAAAGCAAAGGGCACTGAAACCAGAATGACATTGAAAACTCGTATAATCAAACTGTTGACATTTTATTTTACAAAGGAATATGCAACAGGTCTGTGATATTAGTCTCATTAATTTATCTTTGCATTAAAGGAGTATGTAAATTCATTAGTATAAAGGGTGATGAAACTTAGGTCTAGATTATGCTGTTAGCAATTTGAGAAAAGCGTCACTTCTATGCTTACCTCATGAAAATAATATTATATTCAAACTTTGTTTGAATATAATATTGTCTGTCTGGAAGAGGCATTACAGAAGTACCTAGCACTCGTGTCAATTAAACACGTCCCTTCCCACCGATCCCCATACATTTGGTTTCTGCCTTCAGACGGGGGCAGGGAAGGCGGTACAGGCGCGTTAGAGCCGAGCCCAAGCAGCCCCATCGGTCAGAGTTAACCCTTTCCTAGGAGAAACCATGATCCAGGCTCTGTCCTGCACTTCATGTCCTCCGGGACGTGTACCATCAGAATTCACTATCAAAGTTCGATAACCTCATTGAAAAGCCATTTCCTTCAGACTAGGAAGTTTTCTGATCGTCCTTCACTGCAGGGCCACAGGCATGGTGCATGACACTATGTAGTTGGAAGAACGATGGATGGCAAGATGTATGTTTATGCATATGTATAAAGAATGTGTTTCCTAGCACCGAGGAAAAAAGGATGAGAGAAATAGGACGGTAGTCCACGGCTCTCCTTCCTCCTGTGTGTTCGCCAGACCCAGGGCTGAGCCTTCCCAAAGGGAAACACCGCAATCCCTGCACTACCCCGGGGGGAGGGGGTCGGTTGCTGCTGGGCCCGAAGCCCCCGTGTAGATAAACGCACGACATTTCCCTCTAGCCCCTTCCAGACGCCCCGCTTCAACCGGGCATCCAGGGTCTGCGGGAGAGCGGGCTGGATCCCCGAGGGGGATCCAGCGGGAACGCCGGGGGAAAGGGCCCCGGGGAGCGGGACAACAGCGGGGTCCGAGCCTGGCCCCCAGCCTGCACATCACCCGGCAGGGAGACTTCTCTCGTGTCCGAAAGGAGGGAGGCGAAAGCGCTCTTACCTCGGAATGGGAGTCGCGCACGTCCCGCTCCCCCCGCCGGACTCCCTTCAGTCCTAAAATGCGGGGACACCGGGGACACCCCCCCAAGCAGCGGCGCAGGGATGCAGGGAGCTCGCTGTGCGAGGCCGTGCTGTCCCACAGCCAGTTGCCTGTCCCCGAGCCCGCGGCGACGGGACGTGATTCCAGACAAGCGGCTCCGCTTCGGATGCTGAGGGCACTTGAGAGCCTCGAGCTTTCCTCAGGTCTGTGTGCATTTGCTGGAAAGCAACTTGCAGATTAAAGTGAGGCAGGCGAAGTAGTAACTTTCTAGATGCTGGGGACTATAAAATAATCAATGGTGTTCCCAAAGTTAGAGTTTCTGAAAGGGATATTTTTAATTTTTTGGGTTTTGATTTTTTTTCCATTCAATAGTGGGTCCTTCCTGACCAGGGCCTTTGCAATACACTCACTTTCCTAACGCAAAGTCCCAAACGTCCTCATTCGGGGAGATTTCTTGCACTATGCAGCGCTGTCGGGCTCGGCTGCTTTCATTTAGTGGTTTTGAATCGCTTTAAAGAGGCAAAGTGTGTTGCCTTTAAATACACGTTTAGAAAAAAAAAGGCTCTTGTCTTGGGAAACTGCTCGATTTGCAGGAAACCCTCCGGATGTTTGCTGCTTTTCATGTGGCATTTGTGGTCGGCTCTGATAACGCTGGGAGCACCACTTCCAACACCGCATTCTGTAATGGACCTGAAATAGAAACACATCTCTCGCCGGAGGATCCCCACTCCGCGCCCCCGCGCTGTGTACTGGCGGGTTTAAAAGGTCAATAAATCAGAAGGATGAACTCTCAGTGGCATTGTTAGGTTGGGAAAGTTAACGAATGACCCCAGGAGTCGTGCGACCACGAAGGTTTCAGGAGTGTCAGAAGAAGCTCCCTGTTAAACGCTGCGAGGAAGTGAAGTCTAAGCACAGAGGGCGACTGGACTCAGAAGCAGCGCAGTGCTGTGTGTTTTAAAGTTACACTTCGAAAATACCCAAATAGTCAAAACAAAAATCTAGAAAAGAAGGGAGATAATCTGTCTATGACGCCAGGGGCACTTGAAGGGTCACAAACTGCCAACATTTTCTGTACAAACCAGGGAGCTTTTACTTTCTCGGCTTGGATTCAAAACACACCTTTCTTTCTTTGATCCCAGATCAATGAGCTGTAAAAAGGTTTCAACAAATCTTCCAAACAAAGTCAACTGTAGTTGCTTAGTTTATTACCTCATATTCATTATACAGAAAAACATTTTCTTTTCTGCAGAAAGTGGCAGCCCTAAAAATTGCTGCAAGCTTTATATGCAAGCAGTCCCTCTACTCGCTGAGCTTTTTCAGTAAAAGCCCCTGCAGGACTTTTTCCCTTGGCTCACGAAAATATTTCTGCTAATTAGAGTGAAAGGGAAATTTTGGCGTTTTAACAAGATCGACTGGTTAAAAAAGGTAATACTCTCTACACTCTCTCCTACGGTTTAAACTCCTAGCTGGTTACTCTTGTCCGAGTCAGTAACGCGGCGTGAGCTGGGAGCTGCTCTGGGAGTCAATGGAAACGGACCGGCTCCCTTAGAGCGCCGCGTTGTTGCCTACTTGGGTTTTGTTTTGCTTGGAAGTCGTGTTGCTTATTCCCCCAGCTGAGTATTCTGTTGTCTACAGGGCAAAATACACACGCTTCCCTCACACATGAGTTGTCTTCAAAGACGGTTCTCCTTCTGTTTAATTCGGAATTTTCTGTGGGTACCGGCCATGCGTTGGTGCGTGACCTGTCTCGGGGCAGCTGGCCTGGGATTGAGGACTCTGAGTCCCGGCACGTCGGGTCGGGAAATGTCACAACCTCAGCCATAAAGCTAGAGCCATTAGCACAAGAATCTTACCCAGGTACGCTCTAAGGTAGTGTCCCAGAGGCGCTGGACTAAAAACGAGTGAAAAAGTACTTTATTCCTGACGAGCCTTGCTAGTTATCGCCAATTCTGCGCTGGCGTTCGCATTGCAAGCGCAATGTCCCCGTTAATTTGTTTTACAATCAATTATAAGTGCATAACACTTTTGCAAGAATGGTGTTATTATACACTATTTTGAGATTAATTTGAATACACATATATGCAAGACCACGGTTTTCACCTCCGCTGCTTTTTACAGCATGTAATATAAGGACAAAAAGCAGGGCTGCTCAAATCTCTGCCTCTATATTGGACTAGCACGAATGTTTGAACGGAGGAAAAGAAAATTAAAACTTTTTGTTTTGTTTTAGGCAGATATCAGTCTCTTGGTAATAGTTTTGACTCCTTGCAACAAGGATAAATATTCTATACTATTATACTGGAAATATATAGCTTGTTTGTAATTCTAAAAAACAGCGGGGAGCAAAAAGCAAAATGTAGAAATTACTCAAAAATTGCCTTGACCGGTGTTAGTCCCTGGCAGCTCCTGTCCACTACTGCGATCTTCTTCATTTAAAGTATGTCTG